TACAGCCGATTCTTCCATCATCAACTTTTTCGATTAACAAAGAATAAATATCAAGTTCTAGCTGCGATATATAATATTGAAATATCAAAGTTTAGCCTACATTTACACTCACCTCGTATATACACAAGCGCCCTTCCCTTAACATGTCTACATGCACACCTACAAGAGAAGCGAATTCTTTATTGCCCTTATATATCTCCCCTGTCCTACGCCATAAACATGCCGGAATACCCATAGTGCTAAATACTCTATCATAATCCTAGTATACATAAAAAATACCAAATCTAAGCACGGTTATAATTTATCAAATTTTTAATAACGCATGTAAACTAATGATGCTTGTTCGAACCAATAAAAGACGTTCAAATACTCCTTCAACCACAACCAGATCAATGTCCGTTAATGATAGTGCAACGTTACGGAAGGAAGGACGGAAAATGCTCAGTGAATTCAAAATTCGTTGTTTACTTAGATTAGACATACTATCATATTTAAAAAGAATAGAGAAATTATTCTAAAAATATTCAACCGACGATAGTAAAAGTACTTTAAATTCTTACTGATTTTCCATATATTGTGCCAAGCGAGCGTAGCCATTAACGTAATTATATGGTTTCAAGAATCCAGCTTCATACTTTGCGTTAATTACTTGGGTTAATCGGTCTTCAGACGTACCATCTGATGGATCGGCTGCGGTTAAAAGAAACTTTTCGGTGGTATCTACCGGCGGACCGTTATTATTGTGCTGACTTTGTTGGTTGCCGTCCACACTCTCCAAAAAATTACTTTCCACAAAAGAATAATTAAGTAAACATATTGTAGGTAATTTAAGCCGTGTCACTACCTTGTTAGGAACAAACCAATTGAATAAATGATGCAAAGTTTCTCCGTAGATCTTACGTAAGCACGGTGAATTCATGACCCGTATGTTCGCTGGCAAAAGTAAGAGGAGTAGGTAACGTCGAACACGCAAGCTGTGTGAGATCTTGAAAGTTGGGGTAATTATTTGTCGTTCTCAAAACTAGAAAATAAATAGATAAAGAAGATTAAATATGTACAAGAAATTTCACGAATAATATCAATTAAATATATTTTTACCTTGAGGAACAGATTGCATTGTTATGAGATTAGCCGGCACAGTATTATTTCCGCCACCCACTTGTTGAGGACCGTGAGAACCTTTTGGCTCATCGTGACAAAGATGCCCTATACTTCTCTTTATGCAACGTTGGCAAGGACGACCTGATTTAGGATCAGAATTAAGCTCTGTTCTAAATGAACGATAATTCAAATATGGGCGAAAATAGAATTACCATCGTCACATGTCATATGAGATCGCCTACAATATACGCATGCTATAAAATAGATTAATTAGAGAGCTGTAATGATTCATGGACGAGACAATCCATAAGACGAGCTCAAATACCGTGAGTAACTTTTCTTCTTTTAGGACCAGCTCTCTTTTTCTTTGTATCAGCCTCCTTTGTTGCTGGTGAGGTCTCACCGGATTGAGATTCATGCTCGATCTTTATCAGCTGATTAGTAAAGTTCGCGGAGTCCAAGTGTTGAGATTGTGGCGAAGTGACGGGTTGTTGCTGGGAGTTATCCATTGGTAGTTCTGACACTTCTTGGGAGTAATGCTGTTGGGATGGAAGGGATGTATTATTATTCATTAGAACATATACTTGGAGAAATGCTTTGAAATGCTTGGAGTAAACATCAGATCAACAGATCTGTATCACTTGGTCAAAAAGATAGCCAATCAGAACACTAAAACCGAGTTACCACATGTCACATCCGTGACAATTCACCTGTCATCCTCGACCTTCAGAAACATCATGGCCACTCGACCACAAAACCAAGCGTCCTTGCATGTTCCCGAAAACATCGCTCATAATGTCAAAACCATCACATTTATTCGCTCTTCCATGTCTGCAATTACTGGTTCAGCTGCTGGAATTTTAGGGTTAACCGGCTATTTTGGTTTTATCTTTTATGGTATCACCGCTTTGTTCACGTCTTTTCTCATTTGGGCTTTAAAAACACAAGCAAAACCAGGGATATATTTTCGCAATAGGACAGATGTTTGGACAGAAGGAGTGTTTGGTGGACTATTTTCTTATGTGTTATTTTGGACTCTACTATATGGTATTGTGCACGGTGTGTATTTTATTAATCTTGTAGAAAACAGAATAATTTTTGCATTGAATTGATAACTTATGGTAATTTGATATTTACAGTTTACGATTAGATGTTAAAGCTCATCGAGCCTGGCATATTTATAGGTGCGGTATTTAGAAAACGTTCAAAAATTGGTATATTTACATTTACCTTGTTATAATTTGATGCTACGGACGAACACTTTGCGAGTTTGTTAAATGCTTATCTGGCTGTTTAAACAGAATAAAACATGATTATATATTTCTATACAAAAAAAAAGAAAAAAAGTTTAAATTACATTAGTAGTGCTTAACATTGATGATTAAAATTTATTTTTAAAATACTAAATATTGCTTAAAGCATGTTTTTTAAAAAATACTATAGAGTATTGCATTTAAAAATCACCGCCTTATATTTTTAGAGTTAGGGTGCAATTTTAGACAAAGCTTAGAGCCTAAACATTAGAATCCTAATTTTAATTGAAATAGAATTTTTGGGATTCTAGACATTTTTACTTAGTATTTCTGATGTGTGTTAGCTAGTACATTTTTGAGATATAACATGCTAGTGAACTTTAACTTCTGGTGAAAATTAACAATTCTCTTTCTTTTATCTTGGTTTTCATAGCATAAGATTTTTAAATAGACCTGGTTAACTTTCTTTTTAAATTTCATATATGAAATTTTTATAAAGAAATAATATAATGTTTATTATAGGTAATAATTATCTGTGATTTACAATGTATAAAAAAAATAATTTTATAAAACAAGAATTAATTTCTTTAACTTTAGAGTTAGAGTAAAGATTAGAAATTAGAAGATAAGTTAGTTTTAGTAAACTTTTGCAAGAAATTTTTTTGTTAGAATTTAAAAGGTAGTTTTTTAAACAAAATTTTGAAATATAGATGGGTTTTAAAAAAATTCTTTGTTTTTATTACACAAAATTAATTGGCAAATTGTATTACAGGTGATAATCACCTGTGGTGTATATTAGAATTCTTCTTTTATGATATTAAATATAGTATTATAATTTTATATAAAATATAAGCAGGGCAAATAGATCAAATTTTTAGTAATGTAAAATACAGTTTTAATAAATAAAAAAAGCATCTGGATTATAATAATACAGTATAATAATATGCAATTAGTGTTTTTATCTATTATCCGTTTATTCATTTATCTATTAGATATCCGAATCTGAATTTATTCGGATATCTGTTTTACTATTAATATCTGGATAATTATCTGATTACCCTTTGGATTATCCAGATATCTGGGCAATTTAGATTATCTGGATAATTAGATACAGATAAATGAATAACAAATTTATCCAGATTGAAACTCTATATGCAATGATATGGATTTTTTTTATTAATTAGCTTTTTTGAGCTAAGGTTTTTATTTAAGTATTATTGGGTGAGAGGGTTTATGGCTTTAGTCTTAATAAAGTTTCTTATATTAGAGAGTATATACTAATCACATATATACTTTTGGTGTTTATTTTAAGTAATTATATTATAGATTTTATACTAAATACCATATTTATAACTCAAACTATAAATGTTATCTATTTAAACCCTTTGTAATATAACCCTGCTTGTGTTATTAATATATTTTTATTATATTTGTTAGTTAAAAAGTTTCAAATTTTTTTTTTATACTTTTAAGATTAATTTATTTTAAAACATTATTGCTAAAGCTTTTCATGAGTGATGCTCATTTTACTGACAATTACTTTATCGACAACTTAGTTCACCGACAATTAATTTATCAACAAGTTTATTTCACCAACAATTAATTTACCGATAGCTCATTTCACAGACAAAGTAATTCTAGTCACTATTGTTAAGGTTAGGTTAAATTAGAGTTAAAGTTAGTATAATTTATAAAAAAAAACTTGTTGGTGAAATAAACTTGTTGGTGACTTAATTGTCAGTGAAATGAACTTGTTAGTAATTAATTGTCCATAAACTAAATTGTTGGTAAACTAAATTGTTGATAAAGTGTTTATCGGTAAAATAATATGTATCCACTTTTTATATCTATAATTTAGCTAATTTAGACTTCAGTTACTTGTAATTTTTTATTTTTACTATTATGATCTATTTTTGTCTTTATATATTATAATATTATCTAACAATGTTTTAAATTTTTAATCTAAATAGTTTGAAAAGAACTAGTAGACATTCTTTAATATTTTAAATAAATTTTTTTCTCTGATTATCTAATAGCCTGATTGATATTATATAATGCTTGCTAAATACTCAATCTTTATTTAGTTTATTACTTAAAGTTTGATTTTTACTAATAATTTTTTATGTAGTATTATTAAAGATTTATATTACTTTTCTATTCAGATCTTGTCAAGTAGGATTTTATATTCTTTAGTTTGTTGGTTTTACAGTATATAGGTTGCTTTATTTAGATTTTGTATAATTTATATATCATACTATTGTTTCATAATTTCTTAGTACAAATTAATACAACTATATTATAGATGCAAACTAATAAAATACAATATAGTTTTCTAAATGCATTTTATAAATTTGAATTTTATCATCAATAAATTTAAACTCTTGTTTTGGCACTTAGAAGTGCAATAACTTACCAACTAAACTAAATTGTCATACTCTTAATAACAAAAATTTATCTTTATTTCTAATTATAAGTTTTATTTAAACTTAAATATAAGCAATATTATAGCATTTAATTTAGAGTTATAGCTATCATATAGCACTACTTATAGTATCTTTATAAAATAATATATCTATAATTAAAATCTAGATATTATTAATCATTCTATCAGTCTATTTTTTAGAGGTATAATTACAGTGCTAGACAAAAGTTTATTTGCATTTATATCTGTTTATAAAAAGATATTATAGCTTTAAAACTTTTTAAAAACTTAGTAAATAGTTAGTTTAGATAGTGTAATTTTTTAATTACTAGAAAAAATTTTAAATAAGAGCTAAAGTTTTGAATAATTTTTTTTATAAAAAATTAAAAAATTAATTAGATTTAATTAAAAATTAATAAAAAATTAAGATTATGTTTAAAATTCAAAATATTTAATCAAACTAGTTTTCAAAACTCTTTCTGATAATCTTCTGATTAATAACTACAGAAAACTTAAATTACAAAAAACATTATAGAAGTTATCAAAAGATGATAATATACTTGGTTCTACACAAGTAGATGTGTTGTTAACAAAGTATCAAAAGTATAAAACTGAGAAGCAAACTACTTGGATAGTTTTTGTAAAGGTTAAACATTTCTGCAATAGACTTTTCTATTATATTTAGTATTCAAATCAGAATGATATTCTAGAAATATAAAATAATTAGGTCGATGCTAAACATATTAAAAAAACTGAAGATTGTCTTTATACAACTATAAAACTTACAAGAAAGAACCCACAAAATTTTATTAGTTCATTACTTTTTTCAAAAAAATTTTGGTAAAAAGTAGATATTTCAGTTTACTCTTCTAAAAGATTGATATGCAATTTTTTAAAACAGTTGGTATTGTTTATCTTCTAAAACAGGTTGTTTATTTTTAGTAAATATAAAACTAACAGATGTTTAGAATAAGTAACTAAGTATATTCAGATAATAATACAAAAGGGTTATATGTTTCAACTAGAAGAAATTATTTAATAATACAAAAGGGTTATATGTTTCAACTAGAAGAAATTATTTAATAATACTTTAAGACTATTGGTACTTTTTAACTACTCTGGCAGAATTAGATTTTTTAGTTTAGTTTAGTCTAGTTTATATACTATATATTGTTTTGTTTTTTTAGATATATATATATTGTAACAGATTAAAATAAAATTGAATTAAAATCCTGATGATTATTTGAACCAAGATCATACCAAAACAGTTTAAAGATTCAAGGCTCTAAAAAGTTTAAAGATACCTGATGTTTTTGTTGTCAACAAAAACTTATACATAAAACACCAAAGAGCAGAATGTATATAGTTGGTTTGTGTTTTGGGTTAAGCTTTTCTTCTTAGTAGACTTCTTCATATGTTCAGCATCCAAGCCAAAAGGGTTATTTTAGCAACAGTAGTGATAAAAAACTCCTAACTTAAGTATTTAAAGCTTTTTAGTTCTACGAAAAACAACTAGAAACACTTTTATTATCTTGAGCTCTTGCAAATATTATATTTTTTCCTTTTGATACTTTTGGCAGTATTGTCACAGGACAGTTGTGAACAGTGAGTTTGAACTCTTTGGATAATTTTAGACAATTAAACAAATTAAAATTACTTAAAATTTTATTAAGATAATCTATATTACTTTCTAAGTAAAATATGTTTAGCACCTAAAAAAATATATAGTTAGTGTTTGAAAACAGATTAAAAATTATGGTTAATCTGAGATTGATCCGAATCCAATCCAAATCCGTAATTCAGATTGAATCCAGAGTAATCCGTGCTAATCTGATGGTTTGTTACATATATTTGTCACAATATAAGTGATAAATTCAAATTTATCACGTAACAAATGTAAATTTATTACTTATATTATAGCACAAAGTATAATACATTCGAATTTATCACATGATAATTTCGAATTTATCATATAGAGTGATTATATAATAATATAACCTAAAATTAGGCCCAATCCCGCTCAATCTGGGCCTAATCTGACATTTCAGAAGCCAAACCTAATCTGATGGTTTGGATCTGCACAAATCTAAATCCGATCTGTGTTGACTTTTTCAAACACTATATATAGTTATATATATTTTAAACAAATTTATTAATTATTAAAGCTTAAGTATACTCTAGACACTTTTGGACACTTGAACATTTAGATATTGAATAGTACCAAAAAAGCTTTTGGACAGTCAAAATGTATATCCCTGCTTTTGGTCTTAATTTTCAACAAAAGGTGAAGAATTCAGCATACTCTCTTCAAAAAATCAACAATATTTATCACTTCCATATCAGAAAACTCTATATAATAATAAACAATATATATAAAATGGATAGTGTCAGCAAATTTAGTAACTGAATGAGTATTCGGAAGAATATCTTACATGTTATATTGTTGAGGACATATAAACATATGATCATTGGATAGAGCATATAGAGATTCCAAAATTCTTATACTTTCAGATAAAGATATGAATTTAATTGTAAAAATAAAACAAAGTAAAAAGAGATATATAGACATCCTCTAGTCACCTGTATATAATTTTTAACCTTTGGCACGAGTTATAGTGTATTTTATTTTAGTTTTAAATTTCTTGTCAAAACTCCCACACTTAATAGTAGATTGTGACTTTGTATAATTAGAAGTTTTTGTCTGTTTAGCAGGTTTTCTTCTTTTTAGCGATAGTTTTTTTTAGATTTTAGTTTAGTTTTTTTATATTTCTTAATATTAATATCCATTTTCTTTAATGTATTAGTTTTTATTTTTTACCTCTTTTTTCATTTTTCATTATCTTTTTTTTTTTTTTCCTTCCCTATGAGAAATTGTCATCAGTTTGGCAGCATTCTATTGTAAAGCAGGAATCTTGACAGGATGAGCAATAGCCAGCTGAGGAATCTGGAGGAAATAAGTCTAGAATGAGTTCTGGCTCTTTGGAGAAGGCCAAGTATTGCTGGCAGATCACATCTGGGCCAAATATAGTAGTTTAATAGTTTATCCTGACTGCAAGTGATGTTATAGCATCTGTGAAGTATGCTGTGGGTGAGTTTAACTTTTGGTAGAAACATTTATAGATTTAGATTTCTTATGCTATGTAAGAATGAAAGTCTGTTTCTATAATAAAGTAAACAGGATTGCTAAAAAAAAAATTTTGAATTAAAATGAAATTTTTTATTTTTTAAAAAAAATTTAAAATTTTTTAATACTATTTTTTGGAGTTTTTTTAGCATTAGAATTAGAGTTTAGAGTTAGAGTTACTAATAAACAAGTAAATGTAATTTTTATAAACTTCAAGAGAACTGGGCTTCTTCTTTCCCCCTCTATAACTAATGGTAGCTAGTCTTAAATTAGTTTATAAATAGAAAATTAAGAGGTGATTTGCTACATTTAGGTGGTTATACAAGATATA